GTGCATCCACTCGTTATTCTCCTAACACCACTCTATATGAATTCCCCATCCTCCGCTTGAATTTGCTTCGACTTTCCAATCTTCATTTTGCTCTTTTATCCAAATGGGCAACCAAAACCGAAGCACGAAAGTGCATGGTTAATGGTTGTAAAAACTGAACTGAACTGATGCAGCCAAGACGGTTTTCATTGAGCCGACAAATAGAGTGCCGATGCCACTAAGAAAGGATCCCATCTCGACAACGACCAACTCAAACGTAGTCTATGAATTCTCTTGTATCTGTGGATGCAGTTACGTCGGTCGTACGTTGCGGCATTCGGCAGCACGAATCTCGGAGCACATTTGAAAATGGCTACTGACAAACGCGACTTGAAGCACTCGAAGCTCTATCACAAAACACATGAAGGAGACTGGCCATCGAGTGAATCCAACGGCCGCATTTCGAGTCGTCTACCGTCAAAAACGACCCTAGCAGCTAAATTTCGTGAAAACCTTAACTATACGAAGAAAGATCCCAATTTTGTGCGCTCAGAAGCAGATGTTGGTCGCATTGGCTTTACTGGGGAGTTAATCCGCCCCACTCTATCCTTTAATCATCACTTCATCAGTTTGACTTTCGTTCTCTTCTCCCTGCCCCATTCAGGTTAGTCCGTAAAGTAATTGACGCTGGAACAACTAACATTAAATGGATTTTCAATCAACCTCGTAAGTCATTTTACTGTTGTGCCCTTGTTAGAACTCAACGCATGGGACGAAAACCCTGACTATTCTGTACTTGCTGGATAAAATTCTTTCATGTGATTGTCCAATATTATATGCTACACTTGACATTCATCTGTGTATCAAAGAAATCACAGTAAATTGATCTTCATAAGAATAGAAAACGTTCTGTGATTTGCTAATGAGTGAGATAATACCAGGTTTCACAGGTCAACGCGGGTGAATTTTCTAGAATTCACAACCGGAGCCTTCGGCTAGTCAAAGCCTGATCCGATTTATCTAGCCCACCGTAGACCCTTGCGCTACCAGAAGTATGCAGGTACAGCGAACGCAATAGGTTTACATACTTCCACGGCTTTCTTTACGAAGCAGCGACCCCAGAAGAGCTTCACAATCAACTGAATTGAAGGCTCCTTTTAGGTCAAGGAACACTGCGACTGTTGGCCGATGTATCTAACGCAATTCGAGGACTTGATGCAGAGTGAAGATCCGGTCGATACAACCGCGACCTGGTCAGATTCCTGCTTGCTGTTCGCGGATATATATCTCCCTTAAGGGTGTCAGGCGGTAAAGTATCACAGAAGTCAACACATGTGATCATCCGAATTAAACTAATCCCACGGTGGTTGGTGCAATTGTTGCGTGATCCCTCCTTGAAGGTCGGGAAGATCAGCGATTCACCCCAGGACAAAGGGGTGCGCTCCTCCGACCAAATGTTGCGAAGTAAGCTGGTAATCGAGCCGACAAGAAAATCACCGCCTACCTTGAAAAGAATAGGGAGAAGGCCACCAGATCCCACAGCTTTCTCTTCCTTTACTGATTGAATGCAGCTTTGTATTTCCAATTCCGATTGGAGCTCACATGTTACCACCCACGGGGCTTCCGTTGCAATTGCTGGAATGACCGCATTAGCACTAGGCCAATTAAACATACAATAAATGTTACCATAGCGAAGACAAAGAATTTATTTCTAGCAGGATGGTGCACCCGCCCATTATTCGAGGGCTGTGTGAACGTGGCGTGAAAAAAAACATTTTCACAAAAATGGATTCTCAGAGGAGCAGCTGTGGGTCTTCATCATCGTTGACCTTCCACAGTCGATTATTAGCATTGATTTCCAACGTCATTTCAATGCCATGGTCGATCCCGTAGGCCATAAGCTTGTAGATCGCCCCACAACTTGCGAGATAATAGGCGTCCCGACACGNCTCTCGAGGCAATAGGCGTCCAGACACGCGAAACATCCGTCAGCCCCATCATCTACCGACCGCTAAAAGAAGGTCGGTTTCACACGGTTCTCTCCGAATTCCCGGAGTTACGTAAACCGTCGAACACTCTTCCACGGGTCAGCACTGATATAGTGCACCACATCGTCACATGGGGCCCATCCGTTCACTGCCGTCCCAGGTGCCTCGTCTCAGACAAACGGAAAGTCGCACGGGCAGAATTTCAACACATGTTAGACCTCAGAACCATACAACCCAGTTCGTGGGCCTTTGCACTTGGTGCCGAAAAAGTCCACNCCCTGTGG